TTTGCACAGCAAAAGGAACAGTCAGCAGAGTAAACAGACAACCCACAGAGCGGGACAAAATCTTAACAATCTATACATCTGACAGAGGACTAATATCCAGAATCTGCACCAAACTCAAATCAGTAAGAAACAGTTTCATCAGAAAGTGGGCTAAGGACATGAATATACAGTTCTCAGAAGAGGATGTACAAGTGGCCCACAAACATGAAAAAATGCTCAACATCACTAATGATCAGGGAAATAACAAATCAAAACCACATTGTGATACCACCTTACACCTGCAAGAATGGCCATAATAAAAAAAATCAAAAAATACTATATGTGGGTGTGGATGCAGTGATCAGGGAACACTTCTGCACTACTGGTGGGAATGTAAACTAGCACAACCACTATGGAAAACAGTGTGGAGATTCCTTAAAGAACTATCTTTTAACTTCTAAAAGTAGAACTACCATTTGATCCAGCAATCCCATAGTGGGTATCTACCCAGAGGAAAAGAAGTCTTTATACATAAAAGATACTTGTACACGCATGTTTATAGCAGCACAGTTCACAATTGCAAAATCATGGAACCAACCCAAATGCCCATTAATCAATGAATGGATAAAGAAACTGTGGTATATTTATATGATGGAATACTACTCAGCTATAAAAAGGAACCAATTAACAGCACTTGCAGTGACCTGGATGAGATTGGAAACTATTATTTTAGGTGAAGTAAATCAGGAATGGAAAAACCAAACATCGTATGTTCTCACTGATATGTAGGAGCTAAGCTATGAGGACACAAAGGCATGAGAATGATGCAGTGGACTTTGGGGACTTTGGGGGAAGAGTGGGAGGGTGGCGAGGGATAAAAGACTACAAATATGAGACAGTATGTACTGCTCAGGTTATGAGTGCACCAAAATCTCTCAAATCACCAGTAAAGAACTTACTCATGTAACCAAATGCCACCTGTACCCCAATAACTTATAGAAAAAAAATGAATGACAGCAGAGTCCTCATCAGAACAAATATTCCTCCTGAACATAGATAGAACTAAACAAGATTTTGACAAATCAAACAACAAATTAAATAGATAATACGTTATGACTAAATGGGTATATCCCAGGTGTGGAGGGTTGATTTAACGTTTGAAAATCAATCAATGAACTAAAAAAGACCACCTCAGTAGACACAGAAAAAGTCTTTGGCAAAATCCAACACCCATTTCTGATAAAAACTCTCAGCAAACTAGGAATAGAAGGAAACTTCTTAACCTGATAAGGGCATATATGAAAAACTTACAGCTAACATCATATTGAAAAATTGAATGTGTTACTCTTAAGATTAGGAACAAGACAAAGGTGTCTGCCCTCTTCACCACGCCTGGCCGGAATGTTTTTTAAACTGTTTTATTTCAGCAGGTCTAGTTGTTCATCTTACTGGATTTCTTATACACTGTTCTGAAACCTCCTGTCTTTGTGTTTAGATCATTTGGGTGACTGAGGTTTATTTCTGTGATGTTTTTCATCAAAGCCGCTCAAAATAGGTTGCTGGTTTTCTCTGCCATTATAAGTGAGCTCACTTCATGTTCTTGTTGAATTCTAACTGAAGCTCATTTCTCCCCTTTTTATTTTCAGATATTTGTATCTGCTGTTCTCCGGTGATGACCTTTTACCTTTAGACCACTGGGTGTTTAATACAGAGGCTCACCCTCTGCCTGTGTTACATTTAGCCAACACCACACTTTCAGGTAATCCTGCTGTCCGATGAAAGCAGTTCCAGAAGGACCATTCTCACCTGTGTTTTGTTTACATGGACCACTACAGAAATTAGTTTGAAGAGGCGGCTTTTGAAAACCTGGACCTCTATGTCAACATGACAGGGTGAAACTATTCCCCCTAAGACTTTCCAACTTGTAGATACGTCAACTTTGAAATTATTCCATTTTATACCTGACCAAAACATGTTCTGGTATATGTAGGACAGAGACCTGGATGTGCTTTGATCGTTAATGAGGTGGTCACATGAGAAATGTTGCCTGTTTCTACTGTATTGTTTTTAGAGTCCTGAAGTCTGGAGGCTAGACTTCCTGAAAGCAAGCCAAGAATATAGAGCACCTTGCAGGAGTTCAAGATGGCCTTTGGAACCAATTATATATTTGTTTCCTCCTACAGTGGAGCAGCATTCAAATCAAATATTTACATATTGCTTATCACTTTTTCTCCATTTTAATAATGGAATGAACTAAAATAAACAAGAATGAAAGAATAGTATAATTGTATCAGTAACAAGAAGACTCAAAAAAGAAATAGGAGTACCTAACCCTATCTGAATTTTCAAGTTCCCCATTGGATGACCAGACTGGCAACCATTTCAAATCCCAATCTATTTCATTGAAATTTCTTGGTTAAGTTTAATTTTCTCTGGGGGCATGATCTTACAAAGAATACTCAAATCTTTTTCTTCATATGGAATCATCGAAACTGCTGTTTATCATAATCACCACTTATGAGCCTGGGTTTGGGATTTTTTGCATGTAGTTCAGTCTACAGTTAGTAGCGTGACAGAAAGTGGGAAGATGCCGCAGTTTGTTGCCTTGAAACCTATTCTAAGAGCAATCCTTGGTTTTGTTGGTACTTTATTTTTCCAGACCAACACATCTACCAAGTAAATTTTATTCACTTTAATTTCATAATAAAGTTAGTAGAGTCACTCAACTTACAACTTTTTTTATGTGGCTTGGCAAAATTCACTATACTATTAGGCAGCTCTAAATTTGCCTTGATAAGCTAAATAAGTTACTTTTATAACTTATTAAAGCAAAACAAACACAGTGAAACTTTCTTAAATATTCTATCTGGAATAGGGATAGGGGATCTTTTATTTATAATCTCATCAGATGAGTAAGTTGTTCACAGATATTTTATGTATTTTAATTTTCTCCAAGAATATTATAGAATTCCAAAGAATCAGAATAGTTTCAGAACAATTTTCAGTGTTAAAAGAGTGGTGTTATTACACTAAAATTGGAACACGTCTAAAGGACTTTTATCTTATCAGTAGGTTTTGCATTGATATTTCTTTTTAAATAAACTACTAGTTCTTTATATTTCGGCAAAAAGAACTTAAATTTTATCAGGAACTATAAGATAAATATCTAGTGCTTAACAAATTTTCTGTCCTTAAATTTATGTGACAGTGCAAGATACTTTTTTGCTCTTTTCATTTAATGTAGACATCTTCCATTGACATTAATAAAAGTTAGAAACAGTTTAGTATAATATTTACTCTGAATTTGAAGATTTCATGAAACAAAGTTCGTACAAGAAGCCCACCTTGGAATTCTGAAGGCTTATTTTCTTGTTTGATAACTTTTCTTTTTAACTTAGCTTTTAAGTTGGGAAACGACTTGATTAATTAATATAATATTTTCTAAGGTTGATCATCTTACACCACAAATCATTAATTTTGACAGTTCTGCTGATGATCCGTAAATGATAACCACTGTAAAAGTTTTCAGTATACATAGAAAACAAAGATGCAGGGCCAGTTACAATAGTCCTTAAGAGAGTTAAATTATAGCACATGTTTTGACATTGTAATATCTTTTACTACTTGAACATTTAAATTTCTAAATGAGAAAGTTATATATACTACTGTAACTGTAGAAGGGAAAAGGGAAAGTATTTGGTTCTAAAAAACATTAGCCTTCCTCATAAAAGTAGCACAAGCCCACTTATGAATCACTGAGAAAAAGTGAAAAACCTGAGTTGGCCAAGACCCAGAGCAGCAGTGCAGATGGCATTGAACTCTCTGAATTCTCTTTCATCTTGTTGAGAAGAATGCAGCGTAAAGGGACCTTCTTGGTTCCGCAGGAACTTCTCAAGGAATGAGGAGACAGAACCCCTACTCCCAAGTGCTCTATTTGTATTACCCAGATGACTGAAGCTTAAGAGAAGGCAGGGAAGTATGCAAGCAGAGCCAGTTCTGGTACAAACAAAGAATTTGACAGGGACAATGGAAGGGTCTTCTTTACCACTCCCTACCTTCTGTGTGATGGAAAGACTAGAGCTTATAAAATTACTTCCATTTTTTTAATCTCCTGAATACCAAAGGCAATTAAAATCAGCTACAAATGACTTGCCAGTGTCATGTTTTATTTTTGTTATAGATTTTTAAATTATTTCCTTCAGGATCAATTCTTATCCCATATAATGCTTAGCTTCCAAGAATGTTCTTTCCTTTCTTCTGTCTTTTACAGCTCTTTGCATTTTTTAGACCTTAATACTCAGGTTAAATATTCATTGCATTTATAAGACCTTCTGCAAAAAGCCCAGAAATGGTCCTTTCCAGGTGCCTCTTCAAAGAGCTGACACTTTACCTTGTGCCTTTGGCACAAATGTGCAGAATAGATAGATCAGTTGGTGCATAATAGAAAAAACAGGAATTTTGAACACTCTTCTTCCTTCTACATTTATTTCTCTTCATTTTAGAATCACACTTTTTATGTTAAACCAGATTTATTATTATTATTATTATTCAACCAGTATTAAGTTGTTAAAACCAAGAGAATGGGGCCCTAACCAAAAAGAAGTCTCAACTCGAAAAATAAGTCCCCAGTCAGGTGGTTCTTACTTTCTTGTGGGTTGCATATTTTATGTCTCTCTAACATCAACGTATTCCTGACTTTCAAGCAGATGTTTATATGTAAAATGAAACCTGGGTATTGAAAGGAAATGCGTTCTTTTTATGGAGTATTGACCCTGATCCTCTATGATGTCATATAGGGCAACTCAGGGCTATACTTGCTAGATTTTAACCAAGCAGTTTGAAATCTTAATCATCATCCTCTCATCTTCTCCGCTCTCCATTGCCAAAGTCTTTGTCAAAACTCCAAATTTGTTGATAAAAGATTGTGTTTGCCTTTCTCATTATAATGCAGTTTCTCCTTAAGCCTGGAGTTTTTTTAATGAGTGCATGAGTAAATGAGAGAATGCGTGAACGAACATTTATGAAGTATCTAATATGTGCCAAGCATTGTGCCTGGCACTTTCAATCATTAGAATGTTTTATGTGATTCCACAGCATTTTCTGTATGAGAGTAGCTCACAACATTTTAAACGTTTCCAATATGAATCGTGTTACAAAATTCTTAATTTTATATTTCATATAAAGAGGAAAAAGAAAAGGTTTATAATATATTTTAAAACAATGTGTTATTATATAATACTAACAACTATAATTGTAGTTAATAAGTAAAATCTCTTGAAAATGTCAAAGAAATACTTGATTTCTGATGCAACTTTGACTAAAATATTTACTTTAGAAATAAAAACATTCTTATTTTGCTATATCACTTTAATTGCATAATTAAAAAGCAGTGTTTTATAGAAATGCTGGTTATTTTATATTCAAAAAGATTTTGTCACATAATTCATGGGTAAAATTTGCAATTGTAAATTGTCTTTCCTCTGGTGTGGGCCCTATTAATAGTCCCATGCTGTTAAATATAAAGAAAAATATACTAAAATATTCAGAGTTCCAAATAACAGTTCCTAGTAGTAATATTTTGAGTTATTTTTCTTTAGGTTTCCTTATACTCAAATTGGCTAGCTTCTATGTTTTCCTCTCTCTCTCTATTATATATATGATCAAGATCTATATATGTATATAAATACAATTATACACAGATAAATTTTTAATACTTTTTGTTAATTAACAGTTGGAAACTGGTTTTGGCTGCACTAATAAGCAGAATTTAGAGTAACTATATATGATACGGAGATATTTTAATCCATTTATTCTGGCTCAAGAACACGAATAAAGATGATTTTCTGTTACTTTAGCTCATTCAGAGCATGATGGACATGCTCTTTTTGATCTATAACTGGTCAGCAAGCTTCCAGATAATATTTTAGGCTATGGGAGCTATACAGTCTCTCTTATTACTCATTTCTGCTGTTGAATTGTTGAAAACAGGTATAGATACCATGTAAAGAATGGGCGTAGCTATGTTTCAGGAAAACTTTATTTACAAAAGCAGATGGAGGGCTGGATTTGGTCCATGGGTCATAGTTAGTGACTCCGATCCCAAGTTTATTTTGTGTTAGACCCTCTAACCTTTGATCTGCGTCTTTTCTCTCTGTTTTGATTTATGTAATTCATTTTTAAATCAAAATGATGTGCGTATGTATGATTGTGTGTACCTGTATAACCTAAAGCTATTTATTTTATTATCTTGAAAGTAGATACACTCTTCCTGGAGTCTGTTCAGGTTTCAGGACGATTGACTATAATGAAAGAGGCAGAATGGGGGTAAGGGAAGATGGGTATGCTATCCGCCATTATCTTTGCCTTGACATTTAATGCCATAATTTCAGATTCTCTATGTAAAATGAAGGTCTGTGTATTGTCAAAATACTATATTCTCCAAGTTCTCATGCTCATTGACCCTCATTGACCAGGATTCTGGATTGCTGGAGCTGCAGAAATTCATCCACTTGGGTACTCTTAGAGCTCTACAACAAGAATATGATAGAATGTTTGATCTTTGTGCTGCAGAAAGCAAACTTTTGAAGAATTCTAAGCAACAGAAAATGGGTTATGTGACTCATTTGCTATTTGGCAGCCACTATTCCTTTTTTAGACTGCAGAACGGTACTGCCCCTGTTACCTCTAGAATAGCCTGAGTCTGAGGAGTGCAGAGAAAAGGTGTATCCAAAAGGAGAATCCGTTTCTCTTGCGTAACTCTCCTCAATTCCTTTACAAGTCAGTAGCATTATTTCAGAATGTCTATATGCATCATTTTCACCTAAAGCATACCTCATCCTTAAACTTCCACTATTTAACAGCTAATCCATTTCAAACTTGGTTTGAGCCTAACAATTGCAGAAATCATAAAATGCTTGTGAAATTACACACCATATTACTAGCAGATACATTGCAGTGCACCAATCATGCTAACAGATAATAGATTTTTCTTTAAGAAGTTTGTCAAATATTTCACTATCTTGGGAAATTTTAGAGGAGGGGAAGCCTGTATTCAGAATGATGGAGGGAGCAGAGACTTACTGTCTGTCTTCCACATTATAAATGAACTGCCTTTCCAGGTCCAACATGCTATCAGGCTGCTTCAGCTCGGTGTGAATGTAAGTGTGGGGACTCACACACACACACCCATACACATACATACTAATATGCAGAGGATTTTAAACAATTGCAAATATCTTGTGGCTATTTGATTTCTACAAAATTCTACTGTAAGATGTATACCAGAAAACATAATAAAGATAAGCTCAGTTCTTCATTGGGGAAAAAATATTTTTTAAAGAAAATTTAGAAGTTTTTGCTGAATTAAATAAAATATCTTCAATTTTAATTACTGCATTTGGAAGTTGAAATGCCATCCTTCAATATCACTGGTCTCAAATTCATTGATAGAATTTTTTTCTTAAACTAATAAGTGGGGTAAGTATAATCTCCTAAATTGGTACCCACTGGCTGCTCCTGAACTGATTTCCAGTCATGTCCTCTAGTATGTGGTTTTTATAAATTAAAGGTAATATTGTATATTAAAGTTCAAATAAAGATGTTCTTTAAGTGAAAATTCTTTGTTTAGCCTTCATTTTTACCCACTGATGACAGTTTAGTTTCTTCCTATGTACAGAAGAGCAACTTTGGCTTTTACAGTAACTGGTGGCCTTCAGTCTCTCGTTCAGAGAGTCTTTCTTCTGGATCAGCTAATCTTTACATTCTTGATGTTACAGAAAGATGAAGAACTCGCTTAGAGAGTCGTATTTTATTCCAACTATTTTGAGAAAACAAACCATAGACTTATGTGACAACCTTATAGTATTACTGTAATGTTATCTCTAAGAGCTAGTCCAGTCCAGCCTCTGAGATCATTAAGCTTAAAGACTGCCTCAGTCACTGGACCTCATTCTGTCACATTAAAATCTGACCTGACCTTTCTTAAGTGATTCTTGGGCAAATATAGGCCCAAAAGGCTTGAGCAATAGTATCAGCTGGACTATAGATAGTGGTTTAGTCTGTCAATACTGTAAAAGCACAGGATATTTAAAACCCTTTACCCAGGGAGCATCAAATAAGGTAGTGGTAAAAACCTTCTGAAATGACAGCCAGTTTACATCCTTGATTTCTTAATTCTTCCTGGCACAGTGGATTTCAACTTGATAAAATTTTTAAACTTAAGAAATTACATTGTGGATGTATCAAAATTAATTGCAGACTTATATTTTCCGGAACAACTAAAACTAAAACAGGACCAGAAAAAAAATAAAAAAATAAGGAGCTGTAAGTGACTATAATTTGATAAAATCTGGACTTCTCTTTGTTTGCCAGATAACTGAAATACCCATCTTTATTTCATTGGATTGCAAAGGAACTGTCATTATGCAAATAGTGCTCAGAATGGTTCAGATAGTGAGTGAGCCTGCACCCTTCTTGGTTGACCTAACAAGTTTATTTCATTCTATTTTTATTGTGGTAAAATATATCTAACATAAAATTTACTGTTTTAACCATTTAAGTGTACAATTTGATGTCATTAATAATTACATTAGCAATGTTGTGCAACATATTGCCACTACCTATTTCCAGATTTTTCACCATTCCTAACAGAAACTCTGTAACCATTAAACAATAACTCCCCAGTGCTCCCTTTCCTCCCCCAACTCCTAGTCCGTTCTCACATGGCTAATAAAGACATACTTGAGAATGGGTAATTTATAAAGAAAAAGAAGTTTAATGGACTCACAGTTCCACATGGGTGGGGAGGCCTCACATGGCAGAAGGCAAAGGAGGAGCAAAGGCATGTCTTACGTGGCAGCAGGCAAGAGAGCTTGTATAGGGGAACTGCCCTTTATAAAACCATCAGAGCTCATGAGACTATCACAAGAACAGCACGGGAAAAAGCCCACCCCCATGATTCAATTACCTCCCACCAAATCCCTCCCAGAACATATGGGAATTATGGGAGCTACAGTTCAAGATGAGATTCAGGTGGGGACACAGCAAACTATGTCACCTGGTAACCTTGAATCTACTTTCTTTTTCTTTTTTTGAGACGGAGTCTCGCTCTGTCGCCCAGGCTGGAGTGCAGTGGCCGGATCTCAGCTCACTGCAAGCTCCGCCTCCCGGGTTTACGCCAT